CAAAGAAACATGGGGTAAAAAGAGAAAGGGAAAGAGGCTTTCCTTGTCTTGCCTTCACGCTTTATTTGGGGTGGTGAACCTCTGGTTCTCCAGATGTTTGAGATGAGAACTCCCACATTCCCATGTTTTTGGCCATGTAGGGTTTGAAAGAATGCAAATGCAAGTAGATAAATAGGGACCACCTCGGATGACTCCTGACTTAAAAAAGAGAGTCAAAAAGTACTTAAATAAAGAGGCATGACTGTCTTCCCAATCTAAGGCAGAAAGGGAATAATTGGTTGCTGCTTGATTGATTGACAGTAACCCCAGTAAAGTCCCTCCCAGCCAATAGCTTTTAAAAGTAACACATGAAGGTTGCAATATTCTAACAAATAAAATAAATCTAGAGGTTATTTGTTTTCATAAATCTTGACATATTTGCCCTGCCTTTCATTAGTTGGTTCTGTTTCAACAGACCACCCTAACCAAGAAGAGTCCTCTCTCTGCTGATTCTGGATGGTAAGGAGCATAAAACAGCCAATGTGTTGAAATCACATGTGCACCCATGACCTCAATCTAACTCGCTGCTAAGTCTAATGACTTTGAGCAAGTGAGCATCCTTTGCCTCCCACCCCGGAAAAGGCAGAGACTCAAAGAGACACGTGACAGTGGGGTGGAGAGAGGAGCTTATTTAAGCAACTCACCCAGCACACTTCTTTCTGGGCACCTACCCGCCCTCCCTAAATCTAGTGTGAGTTTTTCTGGTCGCCATTCGGGGCCGGATAGGAATTTTTGACCTTCATCCTTATTGGCCGTGGATGGGGGGGATTTTTCGCCTATCCCACACTGGATGAGGGTTGTTGGCTTTTGGTGGAAACTAATTTGGTTGCACTGGTGGGTAGTGCGGAAACAACCGGTATTTCGGTGTGTCCCAATTTGTAAAATCAGATAAGCCAACAGCGCATCTGACCTTCCGGTGCTGCGTATCGTGCGATTACAGTGCCTGTGGGGGGAGGATGCGCTGGGCCACTCCCAAACCAACAGTCATCAGTCAAAGATGTCTTTAGGTCTGGGGGTGTTTATTAGCGGCTAGCCAGGATCCTATGGTCTCGGGACCGCCACAACTTGGGGGCCAGGGACTCACCCATTTATTGATTAGGGGGTATGGGATTACCCCCAGTTAACCGGCTTTCCGCACTACAGCAGGCCCCCATATTATTTTA